CGACTCCGAATTTGTATTGTGGTTGTGGTGAATGAATGCTATGTTGTTTTCGAACTGGTTAGACCTGCTTAAATAGGTGTTATAAATGTGAATGTTACTAATATCTTTGCTAATTTATTTATTTGTATTTTTCAGGAATGTCAAGAAGAGGCAAGCCCAGAGGTCCTCCAGGGTCAAAAAGTTTTGTCACCGCTCTCAAGGGGTGCCAAGACAAATTCTTTATTGATTTTATAAGAAGGTAAGGTCACATTCAATTTAATAAAGAACTTGTAACTACGTAATTTTTGTTAGTCCTGCTGAGAAAGACTGGTCGATTTTGATTTGTTATAACCAAACACGTTGTTATTTATATTAGGATTTAAACTTAAAATGTTATTAAATATGATTAAACAAACAATACTTTAATGTACAAATAATTATTTTAGTAAGTACCGATACCTTTTTGGAAGATGCACTGAATTTTTTCTTCGTAACTTTTTTAAAACCTTTCAGTGTTTCATCATTTCCCGAAAATCCAATGCATATGCCACACTGAACAGGAAAACCACACCAAAACGTTGTCTTTTTTAAATCTTCCTTGCGGTTTCATGCAGACGAATGAACAGATAAAACAATTTTATTAGTTTATTAACTTGAAATGTTATTCACATTTCGACATACTATCATTCCTAGTATCAAACCCCTAATTAAAAATATTATAATTGCTATTTCGAGAATTAAAAGGATGTATAAAATATACAAATCTCCCGAACAAATATGTTGTCGTGTGCACATCTTTCAAAGGAAAAACTTCGGAAAAATTTGCTTTTCGTACTAATAATAACTTCCGTCTGCTGTTTTTTCTCTTGTTTAATAAACATTTTGTTAATGCAAGGGTTTCGTATGTTCTTTATTTTAAGCAAAGGGTTAATGGTCTTGTATATAATGTAGAAGGTGTAGAATTGTAGATCAAAAGGGCTAGTAAACCAAGAGCTCTAAAACATCTTATTCCGCAGTCATCGGACGGCTATAAAATGTTCAAAAAATGTCAGTGCTTTGTATATGAATGCTTTTATGTCTATCTAAGTCATACTGATGAGATCATGATCAAATTGAAGCATATTGATGAAATATTGTTTTTGTATTTAGTTCGCTTGGGTAAAGTCAGACAAAAGATCAGATGGGTAATCTGATCTATTGTAGAAATCACATCATTAAGAAAATGTTGTTACATCAAATCCCATCTTGCAGTTAGCGTTTTTTTTTTGTTGAAAATAAGTTTGCATATAAAATAACAATCTGCTCAACTTTACAGGTGCCTGGAATGGGACCCAGAGAAGCGGCTGACGCCGGCGCAGGCGCTGCGACACGCGTGGCTGCGCCGGCGCCTGCCGCGGCCGCCGCACGACGAGGAGGCTGCGCCCGCGCTGCTCCCGCTCCCCCACTCCCTGCCCGCCAACCACGTTAGTATAGCGCACCACGCCAAGCGGCTCGCGCACCCTAAGTGCACTGACAAATAGGCAAGTCCTGCTTCTTACACCTTTTGTTTTTTTTATTGATTTTTTTTGTGGAAATATGATGATGTTTTTTTACTAATCAATGTCTATGGTTTGCTCTCAATTCTCAAAATATCTTCCAAATGACAAAAGATGTTGTTATCATCTTTTATGACAGAATAGGCACGATATGAAATCAGATTACTATGGAATGGAATCTGTGTGATATACAGATTTGATTTGAAAATGAAAACAATATCGATTTGAAATCATATAGGTACTGAAAATTCCAAATATTAATAGGTATCTTGATATGAATGTATCATAAGTATCTTCTAATAAAACTTTTCTCCATGTAGAAAACAACATACCACACGATCTCGTTCGATCTCGAAACTATTAAATAAATCTGATTCTAACTTTTTTCCGTCTATTTCAACATTGAGAGCAAACCTATACATTGCGTGTTTCTCATCTAACAATCTTATCTATGGAAATTGTGTGTGAGTACCGCTTGCTGAGGTGCGCATAGACAATAGTTTCTACCATAAAAACTCTTTAGAAAGTTATCTTATTACCACAAACAATTTTTATTTTTTTTTATTTGAAGTTCATTTTTATTCAGTTGCTGTGTTGTTTTTTGGTTTTATTTTTGAGTTATGTTCTATTTGCAAACGGGAAGTAGGTATTATTTATAAATTATTATTTTAGAGAAACATTGCAAACAGTCTTTGTTTATAGCCTCTATGTTATTTTTAAAACATAGTTTTACGCTAGAATTTTCTCTTGCATCGTGGGTGTATTTACAAACAGACTATTCTAATTCTGCTAGTTACTGAACAAACAACTGTAGATTACAAAATTATTTGTTAAATACTAAAATTGAAGTTGCGACACAATGCGTAGCAGCCGGTCTGGCCTACCACTACCCCAATACTAAACTAGACAGTTCGGTAAAAACTAGTAAGACTTACATCTTAGATATGAAAAATTACTAATTTATTATATACAATTTCAATGATGACAGTCAATTTAAACCGTTGCCAAAAAGCAGTCAGACTTAACTTTAAATGTCAGCCGTTCTCGGAACGGTTGTGTCATCGCAAGTCTGAGACAGACTACCAATTTTATGAACTGACACGTCGGCGCCGGCGCCTGCGCAAGATGACCGAACGTCGCGACGATACACCGTAGTGTGTCACCGCCCTAAAAGTTCAGTAGGTACTTGTGTACCTACCTCAATGTGTTTGTCATTATTTAATTCGTGATGCATTTGCATTGCGTGTGAGTCGAGGCGTTAAATAACAAGTTAAGGTTCAGGCATCTGCAATTCCTTACATGTAATAAGTCTGTTGTGTCTGTACCAACACAATAAACTCAAAAAATGTCGGACATATGTAAGTTGTGATGTGATTCCTGAGGTCTAGTTCTTCCCGTCCATAAATTTATTTGTATTGTAAAATTGGGTATTCGCCAACTAGTCAAATTCAATACTTTTTTCGAACTGTCAAAAACGACAGCTTTCCATGATTCATCAGATCAATTAATGAAAGTGTGATTAGTTATTAATATTTTATTGTATTGAACAGTCGAAATAATTTATTTTTGATTAAGAAAAGTACCCAATTGTTTCAATATTTATTTGTAAAATTGAGGTGCCAATAAATGTAAAATCTACTTGAAAGGAAGCGGTTACCGTAACCCATTGACAGCTACTACCTTCATCAGAGACCTTGCCACTCTAAAAACCCCGTCTAATTTATCAAAAACCATTAATACATTCAAATTGATTGATGGTTTAAGGCCATATATTTCAGTAAAACCTTAACCGTGACTTCTCAAGTTCAGAATCAATTTTAGACGCAATCTGTCAGTGGTTTGTGTGAGCACATCTCTGCAACATGTGGTATCTGTGTAGAAGGTATTTTAACCTCTGACTGTCAGGTATTAATAGATCTGTTACGCTTACGTTAAGTCTTAGATGACGTCATACGAATAGATGGAATAGTAGTTTGGTCATAGTTCAGGTTGGGGCTGCGTCAGATAGGCAAAGATAGGTGATGAATAGTTCAAGTCATTTTTATTAAGAAATCTAATATAATATTACTGCCTTAGTGATCTTAATGTTGGTAGTAGCTGTGGCTCACCCCCTATTACATGGGACTCATAACATAAATAGTGAAAAGTGGGTGTTACATTGTACAGTGGCATAATGTGCACCTCTGCCTACCCCTTCGGGGATAAAATGCGTGATGTTACATTTAGTTATATGTTGGTAGTTGGCTGGTTGTAAACGCAAATGTTTAGATTAGAAAAGGTTTCGAGTTCGAGTCGATAGGACAAAATATTATTGAGATTTTGCGTTTCCGAAAATTCTTAGGAATTTTAGTCAGATATATATTGTGGTGAGGAATTGAGAACGTTACGTTGCCTACATTAAGAGTTTTGAATGAGATTTATAAACTACTGAACATCGTGATAGTTTGTACAAACAGCAGGGAAATATTTCTTAGTTCTTAGTATTGAAACTTACGTGGTACAAATATTTGTATGAGCATAGTTGTTTCAACGAGTTGTTTGCTCAATGTTTGTAAACGCACCCACGATCTAGGAGGTAAATGTAGTGCGAAGGAATGTTCTAGCAAAAATAGAAGTCTATTCGAAATACATATTTATGAGGCAAATAAACGAGAGTGAAAAGACTAGATATTTACAAAGTAACTTTAGAAAGAAGTGCATCGTATATTTATAAAGTATTTCTAACTAAAGTGTATTTTCTCATAAGTATATAATGTCTGAAGTTCTATTGAACAGGGGTGATGTGATATTCTAGAATAGTAATAGTTAATATTATAATATTGGAACTTGAAATCTTGCAAGCAATTTAATAATGCCTATTGGCCTAACCATTAATTATCTCGTTGTTTGTAAATAACCAAATAGAAGAAATAAATCAAAAATATATACATCAGAATTGATCAGTAGACATCTAATAAAGCGCAAATGTCATGAGAAGTAGGGAAAAAATTATCATTAAAAGTACATAAAAAACTTCATCAACGATCATCCGCTATACAAAAGCTATCTACAATAATGGCTTGAATCTCTCAATTTGCATAATTAAGCGAGCGACGCATTTGTTTGTGTCACGCGACATGCAACCATGCACTCTGCTACTAATTCTTGATCATTATCTGTGCCCCAGTTATTGAAGCGTTTTTATTTGCCCTTTGATATAATCGATGTTTTGTTTTATAAACTGCTGGAAATGTTTTGCTTTCGCTTTTAAAAGGACTTTTAGTAATTCAGGATTATGTTTTGGTAGTATAAAGTTTAGAGTGTTGATGAGATTTGGCGTATTTATATGTAAGTTGAAATAAGTGATCATTCTTTATTTAAAATCATTAGTTATTAACTAGTGATACGTAGTTGATCTGGTAATACTATACTGGCTAGTAAACTATAATTTGATGTCGACTTTACTTCAGTAGCAGTAAGAGAGAAGATTCATCTGTAATTGTGCAGTTATCTTTACTTTATAGATTGTGTTTTAGTTAAGGATCTAAGGTCTGATTTACTAACAGTATGTGTTCTGTATGTGCAGACGAGCGGCGGGTGCGTGGGTGGCGCGGGGGCGGGCGCGGGCGGGTCGGGGGGCGCGCGCGGTGGCTCACTGCGCACGCCTCTCGCGCGCACGCCCGTCACCTTCAACGCCTCGCAAGTCGCCAGTGAGTATACCTTCAATATACATTCCCATTATAAATTACCAGCTTTATTTATAGCTTGATCCCAAATGAATATATTTTTTATACATAAATGACTTCAGACTGTGAAAGAGCCAATCTCATATGATTTTCTCGATTTATCTAAAGCTTTCGACTACTCTTTCAATTTCGATAATCTCTTTAAACTGAAACTTAGTATGTATTACAATAACAATATGTCCTTTTGATTAACGTTCTTAGTTCTAAAAATGCCTGTGGCCCCAAATCACGACAAGGCTTCAATTTACCTTGGTGTTCCTCAAGGCAGCATTTTAGGTTCAACCTTTTTTACTGTCTGTGTCGGTTCAACCTTTTTTATTGGTAAAATGTAGACTCAAAATATTTTTCGTTGTGTTCACAGAAGCGAAACTGCAGGCGGCCTTGTCGGAGGAAAGCGGTGGTGGCAGCACGACCAGCGGCGTGAGCGGCGTGAGCGCGGTGAGCGCAGTGAGCGGCGTGAGTGGCGTGAGTGGCGTGAGCGGCGGCGGCGCGCACGGCATGGCGCGCTACTGGGGCGCCAAGCTGCCGCACCTGGGCGCGGCGTCCTAGCGGCCGGCGTCGGCGCGGCGCCTGCGCCCCGGCCGCCTGGAGCCCGAGCGCCGCTCGCTGGACCTGGAGCGCGAGCTGCGCCCCGACCGCGACTCCGACGTGTCGCTGGACGACCGCGACCACCTCGTCTGACCCCGCCGGGCCCTATTGATCTCACTAACTAAGTTATACGAGCGTGTAGTGGATTGTGCGAGTGCCGACTCTGCGGTGTTCTATGTGTTGTCGACGTGGACGTTCGGGTGTGTCGGTGTTAGTGCCTGTGAGTCTCGTTTAGCGTTAGGGAACCCTCGACCACCGTTCGGGGAACGATCCCCGATCGTTTCGCCGAGAACGACTCGTTAGCCGTCGAGGGCGAACGTTCCCGGTCGGGCCGGGCCGACGTTGTATCTTGCGCCGCAAGATGCTCTGGAACGCGCCCCGCCCGCGTGCGAGACGCTCGCACAACAATTCCCCCTCGAAGCTGTAGATTAAGCGAACTTGTGTGACTAAAATAATTTAACATTTTTCTACAGAATCAAATGTCATTCGTTCATTTTAATTTTAAACAAATCGATTTAAGTTACATTTTGTGTAATTAGTTAATTTTTCTCAAGTGATATAATGAAGCTGTATTCGTAACGAAATGGTGACCTTATAATCGGAATTCTTAAAGGATATAAGGGTAGTTAGTTACAAGGCCTTTGAAACTAGGTTAAGGAGCTAAGCTACGCTATTTATTTGTCGACTAGCGTAGTAGATGTCATTGTTGTGAATCATCGATATCATTTACGTTATGATTTGAAGCGCTTATGTAATCGTACGGTAGCCACATGTAACGTTGTCCCGGGCCACGCGTGGGGTGCGCTGGACCCGTAACGCATGTTAAGTACATTTTTCAACATATTATTTTACTACTTGTTTACAGATGTTTGTCGTATAGTTTTGTCGTTGGTAGTCTGTCAAACATATCAGGACGAGCATTTCTTCTGCCAGTATGGTACAATGATCGAGGTAACTAGTCGGGCACCGAACCTAGTCCAAACTATGTAAAGTTAGGTTGTACGTTAGCTTGTAAGAATTGATTCAATGTAAGTGTGGAGCGATTCTTGCGTAGTGACGACTGCTTACCTCGACCAAGCCGAACAAACTATTTTACTTATGTACCGTTTGCACTGCTCCAGTGGTTTAGTCGAGTGGGCTAGTAGCTACACGTATTGTGAACAAATGAATTTTAGTTTAGTCAATTGTTTTTATTGCAGTCGTTGCTAACTTGCTACTCGGCTTAATCACTAGATCACAGCAAACGGAGATCTCACGAAGATAGACCATCTTTTGTAAAGCATTTTGTTTACCCATTGAAGTTTAATTCAACCGGGTTAGCAAAATTGGTTCTGTCTTGTGTGATCTAACTAATCAATAATTATTTGATACAAAAATAACCTTTATCACCTTGTAATTAAGTGCAATATGTTTGACATAAAAGTTTAATTTCGTCTTCCTCATATTATATTATATTTGTAACGTTTTACAAATGGCCTATAATGTTTATTCAATTAACATGCATTTTTTATTATTTTTTTCGATTTAGTTTGTAGATTTTCTTGGATATTTGTATGTAGACACTTGTAATGGCTTACAAATGGAATGTATTATTTCAATTTTGTGGGATTGTAGTCCGAGCAAGCACTTATGCAACTTTATTTATGGATATTATTATATAACTATCGTGTATTGTCTACTTCTTGTGTATGTTTTTATTGTTTTCTATTTACCTATAATATAATAATTAAGATGGCCACTACTTGGATCATTTACTTTCTCCTAATATTGTATAATGTCTTGTACAAAAGTTTTGGAAATATTTTAGATATTTGATACCCTATTTAATGCAGGACCAATACCTGTGCATTTTATATATGTATATGTATAGATATCGACCAATTGAACAAAAGGGTTCTATATTTACGCGACGGGACCCTAGATGTTAAAGTTCCGTACGTGCTTGCTTCCCCGATTGTATTTTATCATTTGACTATCTCACTATACTCAATGTAGCATTTTTATTTCGATAAATTGTGTTTAATTTGACTGCCGTTTTCTTATAATTATGCTCAATGATAGTTTAATGTCCTAGTACTCTGGATTGTCTTATATAAGGCATTAACGATTGTGCGATGACCTTAGTTTATTATTTGTGACGTGGAGATACATTGACTGGAGAGTAACTGACTGACGTCCGTCAGTCAGTCGCGGGTCATGTGTCGACGCGCTTCCTATAGCGTCTTAAGGTATTTAGTCAATTATTGTATAGCTTTTTTTTTAACTTTTGGGAACTCGAGGGCTGATACACGTCAAGCAGCCCAGTATTCACCTAACGACCTTGGAAGTCGTATCCCTTCGGCTCGGCTTGGCATCGATCAGTATTAATCATTTTGTTCACCTCGACCACGACTCACAATAAACTGCCAAGTACATATAGTTAAATTAAGTATCGTTTGCTATACAAAACTATAGCAACAACTAGTTACTACAAACATTATTAGCTTTCGTTGGAACGCATTTCTCTTATACCTAGTTATTTTTTGTGAAATATTTTTGTTCTCATTTTATATGTAAAAGCTGGTGTTTCACCTTTGAAACTCGTAACTACAATGTGAATATAAAATAAATGAGTTATACAAATATATATTTTGTGTTTATTTTTATTATGACAGTACATACAGTAGAATATCTTTATCACTGCCTCTATTCTCCCCCCGGATGTCGTAAGAGCCGACTAAGAGACTACACATTTGACCGAGACCGGACAGTAGAACTGTAATAAATGTAAACCTTTGAAACTCGGAACAATGAAACAAAACAACGGGTTATTGATGATGTTCGTTACAAATATTTTAATGAGAAAAAACTGACTGAAAACTAAGTCAATGAATGCTCTCACTAGGGGCCGATTTTTCAATCAACAAATAATTCTAACTGTAGAATAAAATTTTTATTTTACACTTTTTAGTATGGAAGAATTGTAAAATGTTCTAAGCGATTCCTCTGATAAATTTTAACTGGCGTTGGAAAAATCGGCCGTAAGATAAACAATAGGGTAGACGACTAATTTTTATTTTAATGATTCGTCCGTCTGATAGATTATTTAAAAACATTAGACACGTATTTTTTATTTTCTCACAGAAACGAATAGTTTCGAAGATATATTGATTTGAAATGTCGCGTGACGTCACTTCTCAGTACATTTTATACTAAGAAATGACGTTTTAGCCCCCACTCCTAAACTTTAATTCGTTTTATCTAAGTATTGTTTTATTATACGACAAAATAAAAAAATACGTGTCTAATATTTTTTCATTACCTAACTTACGGACTAATTATATTTTTAATTTTCATACCCTGTCATCATCCCCATTGTAACAGATTGATATTATGGACCGTTCATGTAGCAGAGAAAGACAAATAAATCATCATCTGCCATTGATTGAGTTCCTTATCTTAACTATCATGAGACATACTAAATTAACCTAAATCGCGGGTTACTCACGTGAATATACTGAGAAAAGCTCTACTAGTTTCGATCCACAGAGGGATTCTTTCTTCCTCATGAGCAGCGTGCGCGGTCGCGGCGATATCGCGAAGCTCACATAGTACTTTTCTTAGTATTAGTTAGTATTACTTAGTATTCACGTGTGTTACCCGCGATTTTAGTTAACATACATACCATAGTATAAAGTACGTACAATACATATAACATTGTATTTTTGAGATTCTAGTACATCTTTGAAAGATTAGTTAGCGAGTCGAATCTCGAGCATTTCTCATTCGTCCTTTGTTATAGTACGAGAGTAAACAATACTAGGATTTCGCGCATCATAAACCTTTTAGTATATTTTGTCGTAAATTCAGATAACTAGTAAAATAGTTGAGCTCTGCAAATACTGATAAACATGGCACTTACGATTAGTTCGCGAGTGCCCTGTTTATTGAGAGCAATGCCGAAAACGATAACAATTTCCTAAGCTAATATTTTAGTCAGTCTAACTAACTAGACTGATTAGTGACTTGTGACTGGCTATCCATCACAACAAATTGTATCGACTTTTCAATTCAATGAAATATTCACACGTTCATTTATTGATTTAAAGATATAGGTACTAGGTACTTAATTAATTCTCGTTTTGTTTTTCATAAAAGAACGTTACTTATTTTAGAAATTAATAAGTCTGTAACTTAAACTTAATCCCTAAATTAACACAAAGTAACCTTACACAAAACTAATAGAAAACTACAGTTTTACGAATGAGTATTGATTATCTCTTTATTTATTTATTTAAACTTTATTTTCAGGCAACTGTGGCCCATAGACTAACACTAATATTTTAATATACAATTGATGTTAGAAATTAACTTAAGCCTATGTTAGTAGCACTTCACTATGCACTAGGTCACCGTGCGCACATGTGGCTATCTAGTAAGAAAATACCTTATTCCACTTATTTGTTATCTGTCACAATTCTCTGAGTAGGTAATAAAAGTGTTTTCTTCACTGATGTTGTCATTTTGTAATTCGCACTTGGCAAGGTCACAATTCGTTCAGGTTCGTTTCGTTGTCTGAAAATTGTTTTAGTTTTTTGGAGGATAAGATCACTTTGGTCGGTGATATAGCTGTTCGTGGGTTAAATTGAGAAGGAATATACGTCTTAATTAAAATATGCGGGTTACTCAGGTGGACTACACGAGAAACTCTACTAGTTTCAAGTCACATTAAAATCATATTCACATGAAACATCTGAGACAGCCTAAATTGTCAAACACCGCGAGGACACCGGTGACCGCAACCTATTGTTCTTTAATTGTGTCTATATTCACGGTACTCAAAGAGTTAAGGGTTATATTTAACCAGGACACCAGAGCGGTGCAAAAAATGAATACAGGTCTATAGAGAGTCACACTCACCTGGTATCCGCTTGGCGCCGCCAGTGTCCCGGTGAAATATAGGGTTGGACCTACAAGGGTAAAACATCGAATCTTTTCAAGGTGTATATGTAATCTTTCCAATGTAACATTTTTTTATAATTTATTGGTACTGTTGCGTTTAACAAGGAGCACATATACAGGTAAATTACTAATAAGTAATTATTTACAATACTTCAGGCCATCGCTCTGGTGGCATTCAGACCTCATTGTGTTATGTACAGAATGTCAATGGACGCCGATTAGATACGCATCGTTCGTATCTGCAATCTGCTTCTGAATCTTGTGTCAGAATTACGAAATCATAGCGCCGACATGGACGATTTCCCAGTCGATAATGTTATAAATAGTTTTGCCGAGATATCTATGTGTTCCTAGGTGAAACTTGAGTGTTTTTCCGTTTCCATGGATTAATCTTTCCGTCTGTCACGTCCTTATATCTGTGTTCTAGATGTATTAAGCTCTTAAATAATGAAAAACCAGTTTAAATAATGTAAGGCTAAAATTAACTTTGTCACGGTCTAAATCATTACGAGTCGTCACCTCGATCATTACGTATATTTTTAAAGAAACTAGGGTTTAGGTGGTTTAGAAATCTTCTAAAGGTACTACTTAATTTACTTATTTGTTTAAAACATCGCTAAACAGTTTTCCAGTTCCACTCACGTGAACTTGTGTCCTCTCTTAAACGGCAGTGAATGGTGTGATCTTGTCATCTTATACTCTTATACTAAACCCGACAGACGTTGTCCTGCATATCCACACAAATGTATAAACAAAAATTCATTCAAAATAAGTAGTTCAGTCGTTTAGGACAACTAACCTAGAAACTGACTGCAGCGCCATCTACCGGGCTGATTTGTGAATCTAAACCATTCCCAGGTCCCCTTAAATACACACAAAAAATTTCATCAAAATCGGTCCAGTCGTTTGAGAGAAGTTCAGTGACATACACACTCAAAGTTTTTGTTGGTTTGCTTGAATGCGCTAATCTCCGGAACTACAAGTCTCATTTGAATAATTCTTCTTGTTTTGGATAGCACATTTATCGAGGATGGCTATAGGCTATAAAACATCACGCTCCGACCAATAGGAGCTGAGCAGAGCGGGTGAAACCGCGCGGAAGTAGCTAGTACAAAATAAAACTTAAATTAATGCAAAACTCTTAAGTAGAAGTAGAGTAGAATAATAAGGTGAAAACGTCGCAATCAACATGTCAAGCACGTATGCTAAACAGATTGTTATCAAGAATTTATAATTATGTTCTAAATGACTATGTACAGGTTTCGTATAGGCGAGCTAGTTGCGATATGACTAGGTCTTTTTTTTTTTTTTTTTTTTAAGGGGGGAAAATCATCGAATGACTGCTCCCGCCTGGGTGAGGCGGAAGGGAGTGTCAGACTCTTACTGACTAAAAACCACCCCGTTCCTTCTCCTGCACGTCGAGCCGGAGCCCCGGTTACCCGTTAGGTTCTCCGCGACTCCGAATCGGCATCGGCCCTATTGGGCCCCATCTGTGGTGGTCTGATGGCTCTTTGAAGCGCGCGCGGAACGCGACGCGCCGTACGCTCGGGTCTGTTTCTGGTCGGACGGGGAGCCACCCATGCTCGCCGTCCGCAGGCCCGCGCTTACGGTGGCCGGAGATCGTCCCGCGATCCCCGACGCCCGGTGTGTCCTTCGCGATGGCTGGGTCGCGAGGAGGCAGCGCTTCGCTGCCTCACGCGTCCCGCCTCCTCCTTAGCTAGC